TTTTTTTTTTTTTTTTTTTCTCTCCGCTATTGGTTTTCTCGCTATCTGATCCTGAGCGAGCGCTGCAGCTCGCCGCTTCCCTGCCTTTTTTTTTTTTTTTTTTTTTTCTTTTTTTTTTTTTTTCTTCTTCTCCCCCCCCCCACCCCCCCCTCAACCAGCTCCCAGCCTTTTGACAGGGAATGAAACACAGACACCCAGTGAGACAGGCTCCGGCTTCTACAAAGCTCCACTCCCTCCTACCGCCTTTGTCCGTGAACAGCAACTACTCCAACTCTGCCCGTAGACACAAGTGAACCTCTGCATCAGCACTTTCCTAATGGCTGCTTCGCCCGAGTCCTTCGGCCCTTCTTCTTCTTCTTCTTCCTCGCTTCCTCTCCTCTACCTTGATGGCTTCCGCTTGCTTTTCTAGCCCAGCCCCGGCAGCCGCAACCCCTGAGAAGCAACAACCCTTTCCCGATGGATCCATCTCAGCTCCCCCGTGCCGGCTGCTGCGGTCGGGGGGTTGCGGCCCCACAGTCCATCACCGTCTTTTCTGGGCGCCTTCCATGAAAAATCGATGGCGGGTACCGCGTCCCCGGAGGCTGCGCTCCACTTTGGGCTGGTTTAAGGGGCAGGGGCTGTGTGAGCAGAGAGGAGCCGGGGGCAGAGGGAGGGCTGGGAATTGAAGTCACTTCTTTTTTTCTTGCGGGCAGGGATTTTTTGTTGTTGTTGTTGTTTTGGGGTTTTTTTTGTTGTTGTTTTTTAAGATTGATTGGAGTCCAAGTTTATTTCTTGGTGGTGAGCATTATTTTAAGCCGTTTGGGAGGCTCTGGGTATCTCCAGGTCACTCTGTCCTTATAACAGCGAGGCCTTTTTGGAGCGGGTCAAAGCGAAGCCCTGCTCCAGCATCCTTTCCCCCTGCCCCACAGCAGAGGGATGCTGCAGTGGGCTCACAACCCCACCTGGCTCCCAGCCAGAGGGAGAAGCAAGCCAGCCACCATCTGTAATTTTTGCTAGACTTCCTCCACACTCGGTTGCCCGCGAGATGCCAGGGCTGCTGCCTGCTCCTTTCTGACCATTCGCGGGCTTCATTCAAAAACAAATCACAGCCAGGAGACCTCCAGCCTCCACGGCGATGCTTGACGCCGCTCTGCTTGGCTGTTGCACAGCCAGCAGGTCACACAAAAACTATAAATCCCCCCAGGACATGAAGGAGTTGCCTCCCCACCTGCCCCATCTCCCTTTTGCATCACCTCCCACCTTTCCCTTCACTCTTATTCATCTCCCACCATGCGTTTGGGACCAGCAATCCCTCTCCCCTTCGGCAGCATCCCAGAGCAGTGACTGTCCTTTTCCCCACTCCCCAACACAACAATGGAGCATCTTGCTTCCCCTCCCCGCTCCCAAACACCCCCAGACACCAGAGCATCTCAGCACGACACTTGCAGGGCTGCCTTCTCTCCCCTCTCCATGCTGACTTGCCCCATCTCACCCCATTGCACCAACCCCACAAATACAGCATTTTAGCCAACACTTGGAAAGCGCTGCAGGGCCTTGTTCTGGCAGCAAAATGCTTAAACCCCCACGGATGCTCAGTTAACAGCAGGGATCTGGGTTTTGAAGACCAGAGGGGACACCAGCCTGCAGCACACCGGCCACGGTGGCCATCCAGGGAACCGAGGGGTGACCATCAATGTGCTGACCCCAAAACACTCCTCCCTTCAGCCTCTCAGGCAGCCCCTCACACCCTGGGCTCTTCATCCCCTGCCATCCACCATCCTCATCGCTTGTGGAAATCTTTATGAATCCCACCCCCCCCAAAGCCCCGGTGCCCAGCCGGCGGTGCCAGCCCCAGGCTCCCCGTGCCGGCCCCCCGCCTCCCTCCAGCAATAAATATAATTAACGCGCCGGGCGGCCCGGAAATTGGCTGCAGGGCTGGGGCGGGCAGCTGGCCACGGGCCAGTGCCGGGCAGGGAGGCACCACCCGGGGAGGAGGAGAGCGGCTGCGGGGTCCCCAGCCCTGGTCCCCCCTCCATCTCCTGCTGTTCCCCACCACGATGCTCCACCGGGGCTGCCAGCAGCAAATTCCGAGCTGCAGGAGGCCGGGTGTTGGTCCAGCAGAGCAGCAAGTGAGAGATGTTTGGGGCTTGGATGCCAGGGGAGACATGGGCACCCTGGGGGGCTGGAGGTCTTGGAGGCAGAAGGGAGCTGGACAGCCACAACCAGCAAGGGGTGTTCCCATCACCCTGCCAGGCTTACCTCTCCCTCCCCGGTTTGCTATGGGAAATGCAAAGAAATAGCCTGGGATTTCCATCCTGGAAAGCCCTGGGATTCACCCAGCCCCCTGAGGGAGCAGAGAGGATCCACACCTTTTTGGCCTTGGCTCTGGACATCGCTGCCCCAGGGCTGGGCAGAGCCCACGGACCCCAAAACACTGATCTGGGTGTGTAGGACTGCAACCCCAGTGGGCTCTCAGCTGGGGAATAGCTCAGGACAAGATCCAGCCTCCCCCTGGAGCCAGGAGAGCTTCAGCCCTTTCCTTAGGAGCCATGGAAGTGAGGGAAGGAGGGTAAGAGGACGAAGGGAAGGGGTGCACCCGAGGGGTCTCCGGCGGCTCCTTCCCGACGCCGTCAGCCGCGGCTGCGCAGGGCCGGGAGCGAGTCAGCACAGAGCCATTAGGGCTAATTTAATCAAGACGGATGGCCCAATTGGAGGGCTGCCGCCCATAAATCCCCCGCTCGCGCTGCATTAGTGTCAGGGCTCCTGGAGGAAGAGGATGAGGGGGAGGTGAGGGGGGAGTGGGGATGAGAAAACGTGCTAAGTCACCCGTCCTCCTGCTCGGACCGGGTGCCACCACCCAAGTGCCCATCCTGTGGTGAGCAGCCTGGTTCCAGGGACAAGGCCCACCATCCTCCAGCCTCTCCCAACACCCAACAGCTGGAGAGGGTGGGATTTTGAGCTTTGCTGAGCCCCAAAAGGTACAGGTTGCTTACATATCCCCCATGCCAAGGCAGCATTTTACTCCCATGGGAATTTCCCTGGCTTGCTCCAAAAGGTTTTCCAGCTGGAGGTGAGGTGCTGGGGAAAACAGGTTTGAAGCCCCACAGCAGATCACAGGGCAACAACTGGGACTCCAAAGTACAAGATGAAGATCTGAGGCTGGTGGATGCGGCATCCACCCCAGAGCCCAGCCGAGACACCCCAAACTCAAGCCGTGCCAGCCTGCCGTGGGGCTGCAGGACATCCCTCCTGGGGGTGCCAGTCTGGCTCTCCCAACACCCCATTCCCTTCCCACCTCTGCTCCTAGAAAAGCCATTTTCAGGCTCTGGATTGCCATCTGAAGACCAAAACCAGCCGTGTGTCCCCCCCCGGCCATCTCCATCCACTGGCCATGGGCAGCAGGAGACACGGGTGCCGCTGCGCCGCCCAAGCCGAGTCAGGAAATAAGCTCTCATCTAGCAAAGCTAAAAATAGCCATTATCTGTGCCATTAACACGCCTTGCCCCTGACTCTCCGGCCGAGCTGGCTCCCATCTCGCCGCCCACCCGTACACCCAGGCCGTTGCGCTCCCAGCCGAAAAAAAAGGGGCCGCGGGGAAGGGACTGGACGGCGGCCGCCATCTGCTCCGGGCCCTGGCATCGCCCTCAGCCCGGGATGGCGGCTCTGCCAGGCCGCGCTGTTGGCCTGCGCAGCGGTGGGGAGGGCCAAGTCCTGGCGGGTTTCGGGAAGACAACGGGGCCAGGGGAATGCGGTGGACGGATGGGAGGACGGCGTGGGTTTGTGGGCACGGCTCTCGCCCCCGGAGTGCTCGCAGAGGCTGCACGGGCGACCAGAAAGGGAGGAAAAAAAGGGGGTGCTGGCCCCGGTGTGGAAGAAAAGATACTTGTGTGATAGAGATGGAAGGTTTTATGGGGATCTCAGCCTGGGAGAGTGGCTGAGGATATCAAGCAGCACTTGGACGATGGAGAGATGGATGCTCAAACCTAGCCTCCATGTCCAGAGCATCTCCAGGGCTATGCCAGCAGCTGACTAGCAGGGAGCAAGACTGAAATAGCTC